TTGGACAGATACACTGATGGTCAGAGACACTGATGGACAGAGACACTGATGGACAGAGACACTGATGGACAGAGACACTGATGGACAGAGACACTGTGGACAGAGACACTGTTGGACAGAGACACTGTTGGACAGAGACACTGTTGGACAGATACACTGATGGTCAGAGACACTGATGGACAGAGACACTGATGGACAGAGACACTGATGGACAGAGACACTGATGGACAGAGACACTGATGGACAGAGACACTGATGRWCAGAGACACTGATGGACAGAGACACTGATGGACAGAGACTCTGATGGACAGAGACACTGATGGACAGAGACTCTGTTGACAGGTTTCTTGCGTAGTTCTTTAACATCTCAATTAGTTTCTTTCCATCTAAAGGAAACAGGAAGTAGATGGCTAGCTGAATGCTAAAATTAAAAGGTCTGCTAAGAGTTCAAAGCTAGCTAAGAATAGAAGACTAGCTAAATGCTAATAGAAGAAGGTCTGCTAAGAGGTCAAAGCTAGCTAACAATAGAAGACTAGCTAAATGCTAAAATTAGAAGGTTCTGCAAAAAGTAAAAGGCTAACAAAAATCTAGCTAAAAGTAGGTTAGCTAAGAGTTAAAAGTAAAAGTTTAGCTGAAAGAAAAACACTGAGTTGCAAAAGGGTACATAAAAGATAAAAGTAGCATAAGGCTAGCCAGAAGCTAAAAGTAGGAAATCACTAGCTAACAGCAGCTAAAGTTTAGCTGAAAGTAGCCAACGGATAACTAAAAGTAAGTAAAAAGTGTCTCCGTCTTTTTGAGTCAGAAGAAATGTGACAGATTTAGCTGCTGAGGGAAAGACGTGACGACGATGAGCTGAAACCTGAAGTAGCTGAAGATGAAGAAGCTGAAAACAGACTTCAGGAGTCGTTTGTCTCGTGCAGGAAAGGTGAGAAATTAAATATTTAAATATTTAAATATTTCAGGTTAGATGGAAGAAGCTAAAGAGTCGGTCGTTTTTTTATCTTTGTTTTTTAGTTTTTACTGACTGATTTAAAGCATTTAGTGTGAAAAAGGAACAAAAACCAGGAGATGATGAAGGTTTGTGGGGAGTGGGTGGGCTGCCTGGATCCTGAAGAGGCGCCGATATTTTTTCACAGGTTACRTTAAAACGTGCTGCTCTGAAGCTAACGGGCTGAAAAACAAAAATAACTTATGTTTTTTTGTTTTTATCGATGCGACGCGTCAGAATCTGAAAACCTCCTGCCGAAACAGCGAGAGGTGGACTTATCTGCAGAGCACATGAAACTGAACTAACCAGCAGCTAAATGCTACGTGCTATCGGCTGCAGCTTTTCTCTGTTTCAGGCTGATCAAACCACAAATTCAGTAAATTAAAGGACTTTTATAAAACTATAGAATTTATTTTTATTTAACCTGAAGCTGAAAAAAAAATCAACCAAAATAAGAGAAACCAGGTTTAAAACAGCTTAATTTACAGANCTTTTAACAATATTCAAATAGCAAATACAAAAACTGATGTATAAAATATGGTAGAGAAATTGTTGTTTGACTAACTTCAAACAACAAAAAAAGAGATTTTATTTTGAAAGGGTTAAAGGGGAAGCATCACAAATAGACAAGAGTTGCACCTCTGGTTTGGATTGGCAGATTTGACACAGCTGGTCCCGCCCACCTTCATAAAAACTTTTTTTTCTTAAACCAATAGAAAATTAACAGGTTTGAGTGACAGTCGTCTTAGCAGTTAGCAGTTGGTGGTTAGCATTAGCTTCCACTAATTTTGTAAGCTGTTTAGCGTTAGCAGAGCTCAGATTAGTGGTGAGAGAAGCTAACATTTTGGTTGCTGTTTTCTGAGTTTGGTGTGGCGGCCATCTTGAATTGTGTTGATAAGATCTAAAGATTTATTCTGTAATTATTCTTTTGTAAGTCTTTAAAATCAGACCAGGGTTTGATGAGAGAGACTGTGGCAGCTAATAAACAATTAGCTTCTGTGGATCTTTGTAGAACTGACGATCTAAATCACCAAAATAAAGTAGAAAAACTGAGCTTTTAACAGTTTTTCATCTAATTCAATAAAAGTTTAATGAAATAAAAGCTGAAGGAGGAGTGTGTCCTGCTGAGCCTCGACTCGATGCTAATTTCTAATTAGCACACAGCTGAAGTCGAGATGGAAAACAGGAAACGGCTCTGGGCTGCAGGCTTGTCGTGTACATTTTTCACATCGGCCTGGGGGTCAAAGGTCACGTACCTGCAGGCTATAGGGTTTCATTCATCCCCACTCCACTGTGTGTGTGTGTGTGTGTGTGTGTGTGTGTGTGT